GGGATGTAGGCGAGACGGTGCACACTGTTTAAACGCTTGCAGTATCCACGAGTGGTACCAGGAAAGCGACGTCAACAGAGAAGGAGCTCGCGATTCAGCATAATACACTGCTACGGGCCCGTGTATCTTCAAAGTTCGGGGTGGTGGCAGTATAAAAAAAAGACGCATCAGCGCCCCACATTAGTGTTCACGAATAACACCGGTCACAAACTCCCAAGCCCCACCGCTCTTCTCGACACCGACACGACATACGACAACAAACTGCATCAAAACGCCCCAAAAGTGAAGGCGTCTGCTCCCGTACTGCAACTGCTGCAACTAGCGGAAGTAAAGTGTTGGGCGGTGTACGGATGTCCTTCACAAAAATATATAAAAAATGCTTTGCGCGAGGATCATTTTCATTTATTATTGTATACGTAATGACAAAATCCCAATAATTTGTTTTCCTATCTGATTCAAGCTAGTCGGACTGCTCATAACACTGGTCAAGCGAGAAAATAACAAAAATTTGAACTTTTTCATGACCGGTTTAAGATTTATTGTTAACATATCGTTATTTATTGCAACGGACTAACATTATAGATTTTGCCCCCATACTTTTCAAATGCAAACAGTTCTAACACACGGCTGTCCATTGCGCCGTGTTTTGTGTATTCTTCTATAAATCTGTAATGGTCAGCGACCAAAGAGCTCACCCGCACATGTCAAGCTTATATCCGCCGCGGGGAGAAATGGATATCGAGTAGGAAGTGTCGGGCGTAGTGTCGGTTGTTGTGTTTGTGGACATGTCGGTGCTGTGTAGATGTGTGCTGTGTTGCCTGCGTTGTATGTAGGGTTGCTGTGTAGTCGTGGTCGTTCGCAGTGTTAACAGACTCGTCTTTTTTTTTTAAAACAGGCTCAGTCAGTCACTCAGTCAGATGGGCCAAAACCCTTTTAAAACAGGGCGGGCGCTCCTAGGAGGAGTGCCTCTGGTACCGTAAATAAAATTTAAAAAAAATAGTCACTTCTGATGTGCACTTGTTGAGGTTGTTCAGGCCTTCCGCTCTAGGCAGGGGGTTTCGCGGTGCGGCTAGTGATGCGAGGGCTCGGAAAAAAACCGGAAAGTTTGGGAAAAAACTGTTTTTTCTGGTTTTTTCCCCGACATAGTATTCGGGAAAAAAACCGAAACCCAAGTTTTTGAAGTTGAACAAATCTATTAAGCAAATTTCTGCAACGAACGTTATAATTGATATCGCTGACCTCATCGAAAGGGAAAATGGCCATCACGCTCCTCTGAATTGAGTTTTGCCGGCAGAGCAGGCGGAAACTTAATCACGCTATACTAAACATAATACATCTTTCAGCCCCTAAGAAAACAAAACAGCGCGACGGCGGGGCAAGTGAGGAAACACAATCACCTCGGGTTGTCTGCCGCCTCGCCCCGTCGTTGCACCGTTTGCGTTGTCTAAAAACTATGCAGCAACCATCCCGAATGACCGTTGCTTTACTGTTCAGTGTGAACGCCTTATACGGAGGAGAAATGACAGTGCTGTCCGAGGCTTGTTGGTAGTGTGTACGCATGTGATGAAGCCGTGTTTCTAAGTCCTCTATGGCGTTTTTCTCGGTCAATAAATTAATATACGAGACTCTTAAGTTACAGCCGGATCTCCACTACCGCACCAGCATGAACATAGCTTTAAATAACATAACAGCAGAGTGGCGAAATATAGTCGCATATGTCAACCATTGAAGAAATTAATTGCTTTATGTACTATCATGAAGGTAGTGCCATGTTTTAATGCCACGTTAAATAATCATATTCAAAGGGGAGTGAAGCTTAACAACATTGATGTATTTTGTCATGACCCTTTTCCCTTCTAAGGGTACAACTAGTTCTGCATTAAAGAGTACAGGATCAAACTTCAAAACCAACATTGGATGAGGTAGATATGCACGCGTTGACTAGATATCTTTTGTAAATTAAGACGGATGTTCCAAAGCAGTGTGTTAGTTAGGGCTACTCTGACTCCACGCTTGAGTCATCTCCGTCGTGGTATTTCAGATCAGGGCTCCTGAGCTCGAGATTGGAGCGAACAAACACCAACTTCTGCACTCTGTGTCCTTTGAGTCGGTTCCTACTTTTGGTGTGGACACCGCTGAACTTCGACCAGTTTCGTTCGCACGCAGCGGAGGAGGGCGGGACTTGGAGAAGGCGACAAGCAATTGGTGCCAGGGGTTCAGAGGCACACAGCCCTTGCCACCACGTGGACTGTGGAATATGCTTCGCTGAATCCTCCAATGCCTTCCTCGACCAAGCACCTGACTGGACCCGGTATTCGGCGAGATTTGACAACACTTTTCCCACATCGAGACACATCCTTTCTGCTATCTCTGTGATGTAGTCCATTGCGTGGCATACCTCTTCGTCACTTAAGCACCGCCCTTTGAACTTCGGGTCGAGCAAATTTGTGGCAGCATGTGCTGGACGGCAAATAAAGTTGCGTCGCTCACGCAGGATTTCTGCTACTCTTTCCTTTTCGCCCGTTGTCAAGGCAGAGTTTGGAAGGGCCTCTTTGACTTGTCTTGTTACTTTGAACAGGATCTCATGGACGTCTGAGAGGACAGCAGTGTCTGACTCAGCCTCGGAAATAGCACGGGCAACTGGCTGCAACACGTGGAAGGTGCTTTGCACATCTCGCCAAAAGTAGTCTTCATCTAATATCGTTGATCTTATGTTTCTGCTCACTTGAAGCTCCGCAGCGATCACAGTTTTCTGTAAAGATTCTTTGTTCTTCAGTAAGCCTTCTAGTGACATCAAAATGCCTGCCCAGCGAGTTTCAGCTGGTAGTTTTATTGTGGTCTGGTTTCCAGCATAGCACTCTTCTTGCCTCTTAGCAAAGTGAGCCGCAACCACGTGAGAGTTTCTGACATACTTGATTACAGTGTTGGACCTCTTGCAAACTTCTTGCAATGTCACCAGTTTGAGCATGTCCGACAGCAACAAGTTTAGTCCATGAGCACAGCATCCAAGAGTAGTGATGCTAGGGTAGCGCAGACTGACGATTGTCCACGCGGCCTTCATGTTGCTTGCATTGTCGGTAACAAGAGCGAAAACCTTGTCGGTTCCAATTTTCTCCACAAGCTTCACACTCTCTCCCGCGATGTAGTCTCCTGTGTGCCTGTGATCTTCCGTCTCCACGGCGCTGTAGAAAATAGGCTTCGGTGTAGCCAACACAAAGTTCAAGATGCTCTCGCCCCGTACATTGGTCCAGCTGTCCGTGAGTACAGTGACGCACAGAGCGGCGTTGACTTTCTCTTCCACCTGCGTCATCACTCGGGCATACTCGGCCTCCAAGAGTCGTCCACCTAAAGAATGCCTGGAAGGCGGCACGAATGCGGGCCTGAGGAGCTTGAACGCTTCTCGCCAGTATCTGTTTTCCGTAACTGACAAAGGCGTTCCACTGGCATATATCGCTCGAGCCAGCGCCTCATCAAGCTTGCTTTGACACCCTTGCGTCATTCTGTCAACGAACGCTTCTATAGAAGTTCGCTGCTTGACATACCTGTCGGCCTCATTTTGAGAGCTTGTGCTTTCATTTTACACAGGTGCACGCTCTGACCGTAAAACTTCCACAGATGGGCTCCTGGACCGACACGCCCCAGACTCTGATCTTGTCGGGTCGTCCGATGCTGCAGACCTGATGTCCGGGGGGCACTTCGAGCACCTTTCGATGTGCTGCCGCAAGCGAGTTGCGTTGGGAAATTCGTATTTGGCACAGCAAAATCTGCACACCGCTGGCCCCTTACCACTGTCTAGCACGTCAAAGTTCCTCCAAACGTTGGAGCGCGGCCTCACCATAGCGAACAGCGCACAGTTTTCACGGATCCACGGCGAAAGTCCATACCCGAGAACGATGCGCGCGAGGTTTCGGAAACGGCGCTGTTCAAGCTAAAGCGTTATAGCTGCCCTGGCTGACCTCTCCACGGCGCACAGCACACAGTTTTGACAGCTCCACGGTCCACGGCAAGTGTCCACACCAGAGTAAGATGCTCAGAACTTTCACTAAGGGGCTGGGAAAGCTAAAGTGATATGGCGGCTCCGACTGCCCGTCGAGAGCGCGAACGGCACCGGCGGGAACGAAGAACTGCGTAGGTGCTATCGGTTGTTGCCAGATGAGTAGTCAAAGCTCAGCTAAAGTGACAAAAGTTGTCGTAAACGTTAAAAAAGGTGATATAATCATAGAGATCATATACTAAATCTAGAGGAAAATGTCCGCCATTTTCCCATACATTCTGGCTGCCGCAAGCGGCGGACCATGCAGGCAGACCCTCTGGGTCCCAAACACGGTTACATCATCAGAGCAGTTTCGTGAACTTTAACAATCCACGAACTTACCGGTGGAAAGATACTCGCGTTCCTTTCGAAGGTTTCTTTTTGCATAGCGCGCAGATGTACGGCCTCGCGTTAACGCTAAACTAAACCATATACCCGGCTTCGCTGGTGGGGCGCGGCTGGGCGCGGTTGAGGAATACGAAACTGCGCAACCACCAGATTTGCGAGATTTCGACAGAAGGGAAGTTAATGCAGCGTAATGACTTTATTGCTTTTTATAAGCGTTAGAATAGCTCAGAATTTAGTTTACAACGTTAAATTATCACTGTTTATATTGCTGAGAGTTTACACTCTTCGCGTTTACCGCGTTTACCATGGTAACGTTGCTTTCTTTCTCTCGTGTTCTGTCGCTCTCTTTCGCGATCGTTCACTCGGGACCCAGGATGTCGACGCACGGGATTTGCCACTCCTCCTCACCCACCTTTACCCCCCTGGATATAATATAATAGTTCACCGTAAAACTGGCGGAAATATCTTGCGGTTGTTGACCTCTGTCGATATATTTCGAATCATTACTGAATTATAGCTGTTGAGAATATTTTTCGAATGTTTCCAAAATTTCCGAAAAAAAAATTGTTTTTTTCGTCGTTTTTTTCCGGCCTTCAAAATTTCCGGAAATTTTACATGTCTAGGTGCGGCAAAGTCGCTCCCACGCCACTAGGCGGCGTTTCGTTGCGTCCGTCGAATGCGTGCGGTTTTTACGGTCACCGTCGTCACCGTTGCCCTCCTCGGCCTCTTCTCCGTAGCCAAGGGCCTGTTCTACACCGCACTGCAACGCGCTTTGCCCTTTCTGGTCGATGCCACTGCATTGTCCCAAGATGTGTTCGACAGTCTCCTCGTCGCCGCCACAGAGCCCGCAGTTTTGGTCTTCTCCATAGAGCTCAAATCTGCGTCTCTGGGTCAGTAGGGAGCCCGTTCGAGCCTGGAACAGCAGCTCGCTGGCTCGGTCTCCCCGGTATAGTGTGGATAGGGTGCTGGTTCCTTCTTGTGTTTCCTGTACAGTTGGAGGCTAGAAATCTCGATAGGTGGCGCAAGTTACCGCCCGATTCTAAATAGTTTGCTCAAGTTATTTATCCATGTGAGTTCGGCATTCGTTTTTTTTTTTTTTATCGTTTAGCGGTTTGTTGAAGCTACCGACGCCGCCAACCGCCGATAACGCACGTACGCACCTTTGCAAGTAGCTACGTCCGCCGCTTGGAGACTTTACTGTGCATAAAAGACATCGAACGGGAACTAACGCGCCCTGTGTGCTTTCGATTCGGCTGAAAGGCGCGCGGCTCGCTGGGCTCGTCTCTCGCCTGTTCTCGGCCCCTGGCCGCCATGTTTCATAGGGAACACGCTCGAAACGGTTTTGCGGAAGGCAGACACGGTGTAGCGTGTTAAGTTTACACAGCACCTCATGTGCAGACGAAAAACACAGATGGCCTCGTGTAAAACGAACACGTTTCGACGTGTCCGCTATGGGACAACGGTTTACACGTCGGGCGTGTTACTTTTGCTAACAGTGTAGCCACGCGCCCCGATCAGCTTGTGCTTGGATTCCCCCATGGGGGTCACTCTTTGGGATGGGCAGCCTCTTAGGAAGTATGGAGCTATCGTGTTCCCTCGGTATTGACAGCAGAGTGGACGCTATGCTTGTTTTAGGCCAATCGGGTCTCCGGGTAGGATCACGTGACTACAGTCTCCAAGCTAGAGATAAGGCAGAGCACGACACCAGCCTGAAGGCCAAGGCCACGGATAGCATCCACTGCACGATTAACTTTGGGTCAAACTTTTAAGAGGTCATAAGCGACAAATCCTTTCATTGTTGGGTTGCCCCTGAAGTTAAGCCTTTGAGAGGGTGGCCCCTTTTGGCCTTGAAGGAGCTGCACTTTTCATACTCATTTCTTTTTCTTTTCTCTCTCTAAGCTGAAAGCATGGAAGAAGGCGCGCAGCTGCCGGACCAATGAACCGAAGGCTTTTTTTATCCCTCGACTCCTCTGTCTTAGCGCGGATACGGCAGGAACGTGATCATGTGGTAAAGGTTTCACGGATGACTTAGTAGCTTTTTTCGACCTCAGAATGTCTGCTTCCCGGCCTAGTTGCTTGTGTGCTGTGCTGCGACCAGCGGGGCTGCCGTACGTTTCGCCCGCGACAACGTATTCGAGTGTACCAAGATTTCCAGTGTTTGAAAAGTCCTACGCGTGTATCGGCAACAGGGGATTTCTTCAAAAAAGCCCAAGGAAGTTATGTGATGTGCTTAGTGTTCGGTTCGGCAAATCACTGCTTCGGCCACATCGTGTTGAATCTTCACGGACCCCTTTTTTTTTCATTTTTGTGTTTGTGTGGTTCTGCAGTGCCCGTGTCGACATATATATCGGATTACATATTTCAAGTCCGGTATTTTCATCGTAAGTGCACTACAACCTACTCCTTTGCAACAACTGACCGTTCTGTTCCGGATTACCTTTAGAATTAGGCAGTGTCTATTTTCTATCAGCCGGGAAAATAATTTCCCCGAAATTCTATCGGCAGTCGCCTGCCATTAGCTGTATACAATTATGTGACAACTGCAGGTGGAATACTGACCTTCTTATTCTCCTGGCGTTTTGTGAAAACACGTTTTTGTCGATACACGTTTTGTAGACGCGTTTCATCGACACTAACGTTTCATCGTCACTCGTTACGCAAAATGCACGCTGTAGGGACATTTTGTCGCGCGTGTGTCTCTGAGGCGCGTGCTCACCGACCCAGCCGACCCGTTCGCGCCGCTTCGTGGTGACAGTCTGCGGCGGCTCATTATAAAAATGTTAGCCCACCTGTCCCACCCATACACGTCACTTCGCGGATACATTCTGAGGCGGTTCATTACTAGAAAAGAAAGGAGAGAAGCTAAAATAGAAAAGCTAATTTGAGCTGTCGATGAAACGTCGTTCGATGAATTAACGGCGACTGCCGGTGGATATTCGTGGAAATAAATCTACGGGCTGCTGGCAGAATGGACACTACCTAAGACTCACCCTTGCTTCTTGTTTGCTTAGTAATCTTTTCAGTTGTGTAAAAGCTTCTTTGTACGTCTTCAGATATCACGGATTGCTTGCAAGTTTGTACTTGTTTACGGAAAGGCTGTCTAATAAACTTCTATGAGATTTGAAAACAATACCGTGTGTCCGTTTACCTGCCTTTTTGCAATCACCGGGGCGCATACATTTTTTACTGTTTTCCTTGATGTCTTAAATAGTTTTATGAAGTTATGAAACGGGCGCATAAAGTGGTGTAACCATGCACCTTTGAATCGGGTGCATCTGTGTTCTCTTCGAATTCAGCGAGTGTAGAAAGAAGTGTAACAGTACACTATTGAACGGGGTGCTCCTGTGTTCCCTTTGAGAGCAGTAGGTGTAGAAAGGGGAGTAATTGTACACTATTGAGCGGGATGCGTCTGTGTTCCCTTTGAGTGAAGCGGGTGTATGAAGAGGTGCAATGGTACACCATCGAATGGGGTGCACCTGTGTTCCCTTCGAGTGAGGTTTCTGTAGAAAAAGGTGTACATGTGCACCACACCAACAGGTGTGCACGTACTCCCATATTTGGGGTGCACTTGCATTCCCCAAAGGGTGTAGTATATGTGACAAGAACTTACACCCCCTATGGGTGTACCCCATGACACCCTTTTTTTTTTTAGAGTGAATGAGTCTAACGTAAGGCCTAACGTCAGGCTAGCGCATACCCGTGTCCCACCCTTACCGCTGCAGCGCCAGCAGTTAAGCTGGCACTTTAGCAACGATGACGCCGTTGCTAAGGGGCCACATGACGCGTCGCCGCCAATGGGAATTTAGGTGCCGTTTCGCTGCTACAAACAACGCCGTCTTCGCTCCATGGGGCAGTTAATGTTTTCACATTAATAAAACAAATATTCCAGTAGCATTCCCTTTGTCGTGCACTTACACCCCAAACATAGTTTGGAGTTGTGACGTACAGCAATGTTTTTCTCCGCGCTTGAAAGGGGTCCAAAGTTGGGAGTTCGATGTCAAGAACACTTGGTCATGGAAATGACGTCACACAGCTAACACCGGCCTCCTAATGCGGAGTCGGTTTGAGCATGCAGTCGACCATTTCAGCTCACATGCTCTCTCCTTCACATTCGCACCGTTTTCAAAGGACCCCACGACTTTGACGTCGCCCTCTACGCCATCCTAGAGCTCGTCCCTGAGGGATCGTTTTACACCCGTCCTTGAGATCATCCTAGACGTTGACTTTGACGCCGAGGAAGTTGAGGACACCGAGGAAGTCGAGGACGACGCTCTAGGACGTCGCACTCGCCTTCGTCTTTGAGGGCGTCGTCCTTAGGATCGAGCCAGAGGTCGTCCTATAGACGTCGTCTTAGATATCGTTCTGTAGAACGTCGTCTCTACGTCGTCTTAGACATCGTCCTTGAAGTTGTACTTGACAAATGCTATCGCAATTCATAGTCAACCGACAATAGTGGTTTCTGCAGCAGTTTCTTATCTGCTGGCTTGCTCGCTTTAACGCGACACGCTCCGTCGCTCGTTCGTGCTTGATTGAAACGGCGAAAGACGCGGCTCCGAAAGCCGTGATTCTGCAACCTTCGCTCATCGCTCTTGACAGCGGCCGAGCGCGCGTCCTCTGAGGCACGGGCACTTCATGCGACTCTCAAGCGCGAACCCCCCCCCCCTCCCCCCCCCCCAGCCCCCCCCCCCCCCCCCCAATCTCTCATTTCTTGTGCGACCCACATGTAGTTCTAACGAAATTTGTGCAGCGTAGTACACCTATGAACAACCAATTGTTTTCTTTTTAATGCGGTAGAGTGCTTTCTAAATGTAATCGCGAATATGCATACACCATGAAACGGAAAACATAGCGCCCAAAGGCGAGAATCTATCCGACAGCAATCTCTGATATTGCGCCTACGGAATCTGGTTCTATCGAAATCAACAGTTCACTCGGTTAGGGTCAGCAGGGACGTCGTAGAGAGACAAGTGACTTCAAAAAGGTTCTCTTTTTGTGTGGCCGGGGGTTTCTCTGACGTAATGCCCTCACCACACGCGGGCTTCGTCAACAGTTTTGCTGGTGTTACCTCCTTACAAACAAGTTAGAGTTGGCCCACACCAGAGGTGGGCGCTGAGGGTGCGCAAAAAGACCAGATCCGCGTCAGTGTCTGCGGATGTGCTGTGATGACAGCAGCGCCATTACAGCTACGTGACGTCATAGCCGCCTGCTGCCGTGTAGGAAAGGACTATTAGTGCGTGAGTTGATCAATGACGGCGGTGGTCGTCAAGCGCACCCTCGAGCTCTGAGAGATTACGCCAGGTCTTCAATAACCTGGGAGTGTGTGCAATTATGCTACTGAAAGAAGGCGCGCGACATCAGCGCAAAGAAAAGATTGAGCACCAGACATCTCAGGTACTCGTTTGTGCTAAGAATTGTAAAATATTTTTACGCAAGGTAAAGATTCCAAAAGGAAACTCTTCAGATTTTTAAGTCCAGAGTTTTAACCTATTGAGTACCTACCGATTTCGAGCGTGTCAAACTACCCGCTCCACCTGACACCAGTAAGAATGGCGATATAGAAAGAGTGCCGTGAATGTTCGCATTACGTACCCCTGTGCTTACGTGGTGCGTCACTAACTTGGCAACATTGTGTATGTTTCCTAAAATATTACAAATTTTTATGCCAAATGCAGTTTTTTTCTTTTAAGAAACGGTATTAAAGAATAAGTCTTCGCTTTATAAACAAAAAAAAAACAGCAGAAAGTCGATCTGCAATATCTAAAAATATCTCATTTGTATTTGATTGTTCCCAAGACTTACCTTAGATCCACTAAGTTTGCAAAATAGAGCTGTTATCTGATCAAGAAAACCCCAACAAT